ACCCTGTACAGTAACATTTAATGTTTATACCGTCATATTTACAGAATCTCAGTTGTCATTAAAGGCTCACCCTGTACAGTAACATTTAAGGTTTATACCGTCATATTTACAGAATCTCAGTTGTTATTAAAGGCTCACCCTGTACAGTAACATTGTTTATCCCCTTGAACAATCCCCATATAAAGTTTAACTTCTTTACCGTGTTTTTATTGATAAAAATTCGTGGACCAATCAAAAATGTAAAAAGTATGAAAAATCCGAAATGTTCAACTTATTATTTCAAAAGAGATTAAGCTCAGCCATGTGGCTCAGCTCTATCTCAAGTTCCCGACTGACGAAGGAAATGAGATCTCTGGTCTGATTGATTGTAACTTTAGAGATTGTACCAATACGATCTAGGTTAACTGATTGCGATTAGAGATTAAGTTTAACTCATTTTGGCTTATCAAAGCACCTTAAGTATTTAAAATCCTTTTTACCAGAGCCAAATATTGATAAAAAAGAACTAGTATACTGAATTCAGCATTTAGAAGAATCAGCAAATTTCGGTTTTTCGTCTACATTTCTCAGAATAAGATTTTTTTTGAAAAATTGAAGAATTAATTAGAATAAGTAATTACAATTTGTAACACTTTAAAAATCTAAAGACATTAAAATAAAAATGACGTTTGTAAAATTCAAATTTATTGTCTTCATGGATTAAAAGATTACTGTGTCGAGTATTTAAATTTTTCAGAATTTTAAGATTTACTGAAGATGTATTGTGATGTTATATTCTGTAAAAATGTAACATCAAACAATGCAATCTAGAATCAAAATTTTAGTTCAAGACCATAGCAAAATTCTAAACTTAAATGACAAATAAAAGATGGATTTCAAAATTTTCTTTACACCGTTGTTTATAACCTAAAAAAAGTTACAAAACTCTTTACTGAAATATTTTTGTATTGATCGAGTGAAAGTTTTGACATTCTTTATGTTAAACGTTACCTTCAGGTTTTTTTTCTTGGAATTCTGGTTGGTTTGAAAAAACACATAGATAACAAATAAGATATCAATTTAAGTAAATGGAAGAATAACAATTCTTGGGAAAAAAACAAGGCTTGCATGTAATTCTTAACTAAACATGAACAAAAGGCAGAGAGGAGTAAATATATTCATATTTTTCAATGTATGGTTTTAGTAACACATAAAAGGTAAACGGGATAATATACATCATACTTAAATCAGTTGTAGCAATTGTATCCCTGAGACTATTTTAATATTAACGGTAAACCCCCCCCCCCCCCGGGCCCGATTATATAATTTTAATAGAAATTGTGCATAAACAAATCTTGGTTTGCAAACTTTAACAAATTTTGTTTTGTAATTTGAATTTATCCAAAGTTTTTACAACCAACTTTTATTTTCTAATCCTTATATTTTTGTAACTTGGTGCAGGTGAGAACTTTTGATATTTCACCAGAAGGTTGCTATTGTTAATAACCTTAAATTAATTAGATTTTAGTTTTACATATATAAAAAACAAGGCCAATTTTATTTAGGGAATCTCAAGATATTGAATTTAAGTCCTCTTTACTATTTTTACCGAGTCAGGTCTTATGTTTATTAACCATCTCTGCCCCTAGGAGACCATCTGTAATTTATTGAGCTGAGCTAGATGGCTCTATGTAAAAGAATTAATGAAAACTTTATCAGAACCAATTTATCTAAACCAGTGACAGCTTATAATAAACGAGCCATCATACATGTGCGTATGGTGTTTTGTATGATGCTTGTTGTTAGCGGCTCTAAAGAACCAAAAGTCCAATATTTTGTTCTGAACAATATTCAAAAACATATTTTCTCTTAAACACTGTGTATAGTTTGTATTCGAGAACGGTTTCATATCTCTCACTGGAGTTAACTCAGTGGAGACTGGGAGAAAACTAAACTCCGACCACGGGACCCTCCGGACCTAGCGGAGACTAAGATTAAACTAAACTCCGATCACGGGATCCTCTGAACCCAGCGGAGACTTAGATTAAACTAAACTCCGATCACGGGACCCTCTGAACCCAGCGGAGACTAAGATTAAACTAAACTCCGATCACAGGACCCTCTGAACCCAGCGGCGACTAAGATAGAACTAAACTCCGACCACGGGACCCCCTGAACCCAGCGGAGACTAAGATAAAACTAAACTCCGATCATGGGATCCTCTGAACCCAGCAGAGACTAAGATAAAACTAAATTCCTAACATGGAACCCTCTGAACCCAGCGGAGACTAAGATTAAACTAAACTCCGACCACGGGACCCTCTGAACCCAGCGGAGACTAAGATGAAACTAAACTCCGACCACGGGACCCCCTGAACCCAGCAGAGACAAAGATGAAACTAAACTCCGATCACAGGATCCTCTGAACCTAGCGGAGACTAAGATAAAACTAAATTCCTAACACGGGACCCTCCGGACCTAGCGGAGACTAAGATTAAACTAAACTCCGACCACGGGACCCTCTGAACCCAGCGGAGACTAAGATTAAACTAAACTCCGACCACAGGACCCTCCGGACCTAGCAGAGACTAAGATTAAACTAAACTCCGAACACGGGACCCTCTGAACCCAGCGGCGACTAAGATAGAACTAAACTCCGACCTAGGGACCCCCTGAACCCAGCGGAGACATAGATGAAACTAAACTCCGATCACATGATCCACTGAACCTAGCGGAGACTAAGATAAAACTAAATTCCTAACACGGGACCCTCCGGACCTAGCGGAGACCAAGATTAAACTAAACTCTGATCACAGGACTCTCTGAACCCAGCGGAGACAAAGATGAAACTAAATTCCTACCACGGGACCCTCCAGACCTAGCGGAGACTAAGATTAAACTAAACTCCGATCACAGGACCTTCCGGACCATAGCGGAGACTAAGATTAAACTAAACACCGACCACGGGACCCCCTGAACCCAGCGAAGACAAAGATAAAACTAAACTCCAATCACAGGATCCTCTGAACCCAGCGGAGACTAAGATTAAACTAAACTCCGATCACGGGACCCTCTGAACCCAGAGGAGACTAAGATTAAACTAAACTCCGACCACGGGACCCTGCGGACCTAACGGAGACTAAGATTAAACTAAACTCCGACCACGGGACCCTCCGGACCTAGTGGAGACTAAGATGAAACTATACTCCGATCACGGTACCCTCCTAACCATAGCGGAGATTAAGATGAAACTAAAATCCGACCACGGGACCCTCCGAATCTAACGGAGACTAAGATTAAACTAAACTCCGACCATGGGACCCTCCGGACCTAGCGGAGACTAAGATTAAACTAAACTCCGATCACAGGACTTCTGAACCCAGCGGAGACAAAGATAAAACTAAACTCTGATCACAGGATCCTCTGAACCCAGCGGAGACTAAGACAAAACTAAATTCCTAACACGGGACCCTCCGGACCTAGCGGAGACTAAGATTAAACTAAACTCTGATCACAGGACTCTCTGAACCCAGCGGAGAATAAGATAAAACTAAATTCCTACCACGGGATCCTCTGAACCCAGCGGAGACTAAGACAAAACTAAATTCCTAACACGGGGTTAGTTAGTTGAAGGGGTTAGTTAGAGCATAAAGAAATGAAGAAGCTTTTCAAGGATCATTTATATTTGAGACTAAAATTACTAGAAATTAAATTTTGATTTCGATCCGAACCACTAACCCTTCCGGGACCCTACAAAGTTAAATTTGAAAAATGCATTTGTCCTACAGTTTTCTACCTGAATGCCTCATTTAATAATGCCAAATTAAGTCTCCATTAAAATTAGTTTCGAATTCCGAATTATGGTTTCCTTTTTTTTCCAGAACAAGTTGAACCCGTAAAGGTCTGACACGAGTCCTCTCCTGAAGAATTATGAACATCAAAAACTTTTGAAATTAGCGGCGAAACCTTTCTTAACGGATCGTTAAATAAATCTTCTGAATAATTTAAAGAGCATGGTATGACATTTAGAAAAAGGATTACGGAACGATTATTCCATAATCCAGGTGGAAATGACCGTAATAATCGTCCCATGTATTCCGAACAATTATATGTAATTTTTTTTTTTTTTTTTGGGGGGGGGGGAGGGACAAGATTTTTTTAAACAATGGTTATTACAATATTAATTGTAAACAAACAAAGAATAATAGAAAAAATAAATGTTTCATTTTACTTCATTTATTAAGCTTTTTAACAATGAACTGATACATTCGTTTAATATAAACAAAGTTACACTGCAATATAAATATATTATTCTTTCGAGGCCGCTTCGCGCCTACTTACTTTTTCAACTTTTAAGTGTTTTTCTATATTTGTGCATCTTCTCTTTTTACAAAATAAAACAATAAAAAAATAATAATAATATTATTTTTCGTGGATTTTCAAAATTTTATGAAAATCATAAAGTTTTGGAGAAAACTTTTCGTCTTTCCGAGGATTAATATACCTTCCCTGGGGGACGGTTTCACCAAAAAATGTGGCCCGACCGGTTCAGCCGTTTTAACGTTTATCGGCTATTAACTGACAAGTAAAGTATATATTAAAGGGATCAAGTAATCCTTCAATTTGAAGTGTTACATCTGTCTGTTTGTACGTCAAAACGGCCGAACCGATTGGGTCCAAATTTTACCTCAGGGAAGATCAAATTTGAAAAGTTTTGCATGGAAAAAAGGTCGATATTTTTTTCTTTAAAAATGCCGCAATGGATCAATTTAAACAGAATAGTCCAAGAAATATGATTTACAATGAAAAATGGCTGATTAAACAGCACTTTTGATATTTAAAAAACCCGAAGCGCCCAAGAAGACTAGTACATGTAAATTAAAAAGTTCTACATGATCTTAATATACTCTGCGTAAATTATAAAAGAAGTAACTCCCCCAAAAAATTATTTGAAATTCAGGTAAGTTTAATTTTGATAACTGAGTTCTTAGACTGTAGGAAATCAAAAAGAAAACTCTATGAAATAAACGGATATTTTATTTCAACATTTTGGTACGGGACAATTCTTTCATCACAATGTAAACAAAAGATAGTGCAAACTTTAAAAAACAAAACATAAAAAAGGTAACAGGAGTCACATTAACACAGTGTGAGCTGAAAACTGTGGAATTCAATTGCAAATGCAAACTAAGTGACGACATTCAATAATAAAAATATAATAAATATGACAATCATTCCACAGTTTTCTGATGACCACTGTATTTGAAAAGATTCTCCCTAAAATATATGAAACTAAGTTGAGGTATATGATACTAATGCACGGGACATTATTTCCAAAACTAACAATTGGCCAAATTCTAACACTGAGTGTTAAAAATGGGTACAAATTTGAGACTGGGTTTTTAGGATCCCGGCTCATATTAGGAGTAAAATTTAAAACTTCTTTCTGAAATCAAAATTATAAAAGGAGTTCTTTTATATCAAAACCCTTGACCGTTTTCAAGACAATGTCAGGTTTTCAATTTTCAAATATATCCTGAATTTAAATCATTGCATGTCGCGTTTTCGAGACAAACCCCACTTTCCCGTTTATGAGTATAGTCCGCTATTCAGAACAAACCTCACTTTCATAACTTAAAAAATAAATCACTGAATGTAAAAATTACCTTATGAAGACTAAATTAACTGCTAAATTACTTCTAAAATCTCTGAATCAACTGACATTGATATAAATTCAAGTAATTGTCTCAAAGACAGGATATGTTTCAAAAACGGGACATCAGCTGAAATATGGTAATTGTTTCAAAATAGGGATATGTTCGAAAATGAAAACAAGTAGCATTAAAAACTAATTCTCACACCTTATTATTATTTCAAAATTGACATTTTTTGTTTCAATGTAAAGTTTTTGCCATTTTTTATAAATATATGGTGTAGTTTTGTTCAACTCAGCTTGGATTTAAAGATACATACGTTTGGAAAAGATAACTCAGTTTTAGAAATGGGCTAAGTGTTAGTTTTGGAACTAATTTCCCCTGTAATGTTAGAATCGTGACTAAAATTACATGGTGAGAGCCAATGCTTCGTTCTCGTACATCAGTTCAGAATCCACTAATCCACTTCCCTCATCATACTGTAATATATTATTATATACTACAATATATTATTATATACTACAATATATTTTTATATATTACTAAATATTATTATATACTACAATATATTATTATATACAAGCTCAATTGCCCGGCATTGCCGGTGGAATTAAAAAAAAAATTTCAAAGAAAATTCGATTTAAAAAAAGGTTTGAATCTTTATTAGCAAATGTTACCCCCTGGGTACCCATGGGTTACCTAAAAAAGGTCGGCACATTCGATCAAGCCGTTTGACCAGCTATAACTTTTCGCAATAAAAGTCGACCTAGTCAACTTATAATCAAAAAACCAAACAATGTACATTCCCGTGAATCTCCCGAGGTCCCCAATCAAAATGTGAGGGTAATCGGTCCAGGGGTTCCTGAGTTATGATCGGACAAACAAACAGACAAACAGATATTACAACTTAATAAATTAAGATATTTATCTCATCATACTACAATATAATATAGTATATATATCATCATAATACAATATAATATAGTATATATATCATCATAATACAATATACTATAATATATATATCATCATATAATACAATATATTATAACATATATATCATCATATAATACAATATATTATAACATATATCTCATCATACTACACTACAGTATATTATAGTACATACCTTATCGAACTACAATATTTTATTATATATAGCTCACCATACTGCATTATATTATAGTATACGGTGAGAACAAGAAAACTGTGGAATATGAAGACGACTTTAGGCTCAAGTTCCATAAATAGTCTAATGTACAGGAGACACCGAAATTGTGCAGTATAAACAGGGGAATTTAACTTAAGAACTGATTTAATAAATTACTGCTAAAACTATTTGCTTTGAAAAACCATACAGTATGATTAAGCATTGCCAAAATGTCGTCTTCCTATTCCACAGTTTTTATGATCTTACTGTATCTATATATATGAAATTGTAAGCTTTGTTATTGTGGGTGTCCGTTTGTTTGTCCAATCATAATTAAGGAACGCCTGGACAGATTTGCATAACATTTTGATTGGGGAACTCGGGAGATCCACAGGATTGTTTTTAGCTTGGTTTTGAGATTCTAAGTTGATTGGGTCAACTTAATAGCGAGATTTTAGCTTCCCAGTAAAATCATTCAAGTGCGGGTAAACAGCGGGAGTGACTTTTAGTAACCTTAGTAGCGCTGGGTTCCCAAGCTAGTATATTTCATTAACTAGTTTTAAAACTGAACCAAAAGTTGTGAACCTGACAATAAGATCCAACATCGCTAACATTAACCTCTCCTGAATCTAACTCCGCTCGGTGAACATTTCTAAATAAAAAAAAGATCAACCATTATTCCTTGGAAATCAGGGCCGAGACCTCTTCAAAAATAACCGCCAAAGAACGGATATTAATGCTAATAGTTGATTAATGACACTAGTCTAGTGTAAATAAACATGTCAAGGTCTAGGCCAGTTGACCGAAGCAACCTCCCCACTGCACACAAACAGTAACCTGGGCTAGTCCATCTCAGTACTAGCCAGTATATGTTCTTTGATAGTATTGTTTAATTGATTAATGTCTAAAAGGATACAATGGTTAGCTGGTTTACGCAGGTTACCATGCACAAATACAACTAATATCACTATTGTTCTTAATGTATAATGTGAATATGTGTATGAATAATATGTTATCATGTGTAGGAACATATGTAGAAATATGTGTATTGCGTATACTGAATGAATAGAAGGCTTTCAGGGACGCGTAAGTGTGGCTGTATCTGTGATCATCTTCTCTTTGTATCGTGGATTTTATAATATTTGTGCGTGGATTTATAAAACTTTACAAAAACCTATATATTTTAGAGACAATTTTTTGTAATTTTGTGCATCCACAAACCTTCCTAGAAGTCATGTGAGTTACCTCCAATATGTTTGGCCCGATTGGTTGGGTGTTTTGAGGTTTATTGCAGATACAAACAGACAGACAGACAAGCAACGTAGATACGTACAGAAGATGTGTAGAAATATGTGTAGTCCTAATTCCTAGTCACGAGAATGGTTTATTTGGAATTAAATTCAATGGGAAGGTTTATTTAAATCTCTAATGGGATTTCCATTCATTCAATTTCAAAACGTATTTAATTACAAACAACAGAGAATTAAAAGAATTTTTATATGCTTTTCATTTTTCATTACTTTCGTATTTCTTTCAGCTTCTGGTATTTGACGCCATATTTCTTACTTAAAATTTGAGACTGAATGTTTAAGATGTAATCATTGAAAAGGTAAAATGAACTTTAGAAAAAAAAACATTTTAAAACAAAAAAATGAAGTAAAGTGTTGAAAAGAACCTAGAGTGCAAATATTTTGAAACTCACTGTACAGGGATAACTTAGAAATAAAATTTGATTAATTTTTAATATTGATCAAATCTATGGTGGAAGGGTTTATCAAAGTGTTTTTTTTTTAATGGGAAAATGTTCATTAAAAAAGATTCATAAGAATATTATTAGAACTTCTCAATAAAAACTCTATTTAAAAAATCTTCAATTTATTTTTTGGCCAATTTTAGGATTCTATCGCGGACCCTTCATTATTGAATTAAACTAGAAGGTTTACATTTTGAAGAAATTGCAAAACTAAGCATTTTTCTAAATCAAGATTATAAATTCCAACACACGAAGAAACTAAGGTTCATTAAAATAGAAATTTATAAAATTGATCCATTCTGTTCATATTTATTTCACTTAAGGAGTCATAATATTTACAGCCACAATAGAGAAGAAGTTTAACTCTCCGTACTTTGTTCTGCTACTTCTTGCCATTAATAAATTCTGAGTCTAAAACCCAAAAAATGTGCGATTTATTAATTTATACCATCAAATTAAACCATTTTCAGGCTTATAAATATCGCAAAATTTAATGCCATTTCCTAAGGATTGATGGAAAAATTGGGAAAATGCGGTAAATCATGGGTTTAAATCATTTTACTCGCCGAATTCGATGGGTTCAAATTTAAACTATAGCTGAAAGTTGCAGTTTATATTTATTCAGAAGCGGTACGGGGCAGCATTAAACCTAAAACTTAACATTTAAGTCGTAACTGTTCGTCCTTAAGTTTTAAACTCTGATCTGAAAAAGATATAAACCTGATATGCCGGATACAGCTATCTCGAAGAGAAAAATTCCGCGAACACAGCGTGCATCTAAACCATAATAAAAAGCAATTAAGTAAAAGATATAAAACCGGAGCGGAAAACCTTGTATGGATACTCCTAATCCCGATTGCTAAATGTCCATATTTACTGTGGACACTTATGACCAGAGCTTAGGCTTCATTTGATTTTGATGTGGATCCGGATCCGGATTCTGGATCCGCACTGGAAAAAATGGATCCGGTTCCAAATCCGGATCCGGATCCAGATCATGATCATTTCTTTAAGATTTACTTTCTTAACAGAAGAACTAAAAAATAATTTTCCTAGAAGCCAAAATATTGCGGATCCAACGGATCCGGATCCTAAGCACTGCTTTTAACTTTCTGCTCAATCCTCTCTTATGAATATTCACGGGTTTTGCTTGACTGCTCGGTTTCTGCAATCAATACTTGGTTGCAGTTTTAACACTTCTTCTGGATATTAATGTACGATGAAATCAATCCATGCTTATTGATAAAGGAGATCAAGCATTGATCAAGAATTCATTCTTAATACGACGCTTTTTCCCCAAAGTATATAAATTATTTAATTAACAAAAAATTACACTTGTTTTGATTTTAATGAGAAAAACGCATATTTGGATGAGTATAAAAACATTAAAATTATCTACCTGAACGGGCGTTCTCTGGTATGTGTTCTATAGTGTCGTTTTAGCAACCATTTCTGATCAAACGACATTTCACACATACCACATTGAAACGCTTTCAGTACAATTGGCTTTTTATGCTTTACTGCTGAAGGATTAGATGTCTGAAACAAAACAATAATATAAGGTTACCCACAAAGGATGAGAATTTAGAGACGATTGTACAGAATTCCTTTAAGCTTTTTTAAAATTCATGGCTCTTTACAGAAGGTAACATTTTTCTCCTTATTAAATCATTTATTAATAATTAAGAGACTTGATTTAAGGCGTAAAGGCTAAGTTCAACCATTAAATGGTTAAATTTAAAGAACTGTAGGTCATCATTAAAGTCTCATCCTTTGTGGGTAACCCTGTATGATATCATTAAATATTATTATATCATTATTTAGCAAAATAACACTTTTTGTTGAAAGGAGTTAATTAGATAGGTTTTCATAATCACAAACTCGCTTCTGTTGTTATTGTTTATCAAATAAGTGTTAGCTCTGAAACTTCTTACGAAAATTATGCATTAAGGAATATGATCAAGAAAGAAGATCAGAAAACTTAAGTTTGTATAGAGTAAAATCAGAAAAAGATTTTACAACTAAAACTAAAAATAAGATGATAAACTTGATGTTTTGAGAAATATGCTTTTAAATAATAACCTGGTTTTCATAATCAAAGTATTGTTCAGTTTCTGTAAACTCTCCACCAATCTCAGATATCTCCTTGGTTTAAACAGATTTTAATCTATATATAAATTTGGCTTGTCTGGGTGTCTGTCTGTCTGTTTGTATCCAATAAACGTCAAAACGGCAGAACCGATCGGGCCCAAATTTTTTGTGGGACATCTAGGGACCCCAGGGAAGTTTTATGAATGATTGAAATTTTAAAATTTGTGTTTTAGAGGTTTTTAATTTTGTAAAAAAATTTAAATTTTTGAAAATCCGCGAATTTTTTTTTTAAATCCGCAAAACTTTTTTCATCTTTGTTATGAAATGTAAACAAAAAAACATATTCACAATTTAAATAGAAGATGGGCGCGAAGCGCCCTAAAAGCCTAGAAAGAAGGGCGCGAAGCGCCTTGAATTTCTAGTAAGTTTAAAATTTACTCCCAGGATCCTCGAAATAATCTGATTCATACAGTCTCCGTCATATATATCAATACAATGAAGACGACTTTAAATTCTACTATTTTAATTCCTGCCAACCTTAATTTTGTTTACTTGTATTTTGGAAACTTATCTATTTATAAATTTGGCTTGTCTGGGTGTTTGTTTGATTGTTTGTCTGTTTGTATCTAATAAACGTCAAAACGGCTGAACCGATCGGGCCCAAATTTTTTGTGGGACATCTAGGGACCCCAGGGAAGGTTTATGAATGATCTTCGTTAAATTTTTTAAAATTTTGAAAATCCGCGAAATTTTTTGTGAAAATCCGCGAATTATTTTTGTTTTGTTTTACGATGTACACAAAGAGAACATGTTCACAATTAACTTAGAAGATGAGCGCGAAGCGCCCTCTAAGGCTAGTAATTTAAAAAAAAGACTTGTTAGAAATCAAAAATGTAATTAAGAAATTCGTCGTCATTGTATTGATTTAAACGCCAACCACTATATAGGAAAATATATTTGAAGTCTAGAAGCAAGATCGTTTATATATAAGAAAAGAAAAAACTAAGTCCGGTTTTGATCTGCCCCCCCCCTTATGCCCCTTGTATAGATAAACATCAATTAGAGATGATCAATTTTAAAATAGAACAAGAATATATTTGTTAACTTAGTTCGATAGATATAAGTCCCTTTAAAAGAAGCAAATCACAAAAAACATATTTTAAACAGAGCTAATCTTAAAACATATTTTAAACAGAACTTCTCTTAAAATATATTTAAAACAAAACTTCTCTTAAAATTTATTTTAAACAGAACTTCTCTTAAAATAAATTTTAAACAGAACTTCTCTTAAAATATATTTTAAACAGAACTTCTCTTAAAATATGTTTTAAGCAAAACTTCTCTTAAAATATATTATAAACAGAACTTCTCTTAAAATATATTTTAAACAGAACTTCTCTTAAAATATAAATTAAACAGAACTTCTCCTAAAATATATTCTAAACAGAACCTTCTTAAAATATATTTTAAACAGAACTTCTCTTAAAATATATTTTAAACAGAACTTCTCTTAAAATATATTTTAAACAGAACTTTTTTAAAATATATTTTAAACAGAACTTCCCTTAAAATATATTTTAAACAGAACTTCTCTTAATATATTTTAAACAGAACTTCTCTTAAAATATATTCTAAACAAAACTTTTCTTAAAATATATTTCAAACAAAACTTCTCTTAAATAATTTGAGCTTTTTCTCAAAATGAACAAATACCTCATCATATTCAAACTCTTCCACGTCGTCAGCTGTTAGATCTGTAATATCATCCTAGAATAATAGAACATCAGCTGTTAGATCTGTAATATCATCCTAGAATAATATAAAGTCAGCTGTTAGATCTGTAATATCATCCTAGAATAATAGAACATCAGCCGTTAGATCTGTAATATCATCCTAGCATAAAAGAACATCAGCTGTTAATATCATCCTAGCATAGTAGAAACTGAGCTGTTAGATCTGTAATATCATCCTAGAATAATATAACATCAGCTGTTAGATCTGTAACATCATCCTAGAATAATATAACATCAGCTGTTAATATCATCCTAGAATAGTAGAAAATGAGCTGTTAGATCTGTAATATCATCCTAGAATAATAGAACATTAGCTGTTAGATCTGTAATATCATCCCTAGAATAATATAACATCAGCTGTTAGATCTGTAATATCATCCTAGAATAATAGAAATCAGCTGTTAGATCTGTAATATCATCCTAGAATAATATAACATTAGCTGTTAGATCTGTAATATCATCCTAGAATAATAAAACATTAGCTGTTAGATCTGTAATATCATCCTAGAATAATAAAACATCAGCTGTTAGATCTGTAATTTGATCCTAGAATAATAGAACATCAGCTGTTAGATCTGTAATATCATCTTAGAATAATAAAACATTTAGCTTTTAGGCGATTCATTTATTCCGTGGTAGAGTCATAACAAATGTTCAAATCTGTTTACAGAACTACCCCATCTTAAGGAAAAAAAATTGATTTATTAAAAAGGGGGGATGAATTTTCTATGAAAATTCACACTTGGTTTATAGGCCTGTGTACATTGTACAATCAGTGTAAGTTACATATTTTTTAGAAAAAAATGCTTCATCTCTATTTCTTCTTATTTTGGAAAACGAAATAGTTCAGAGGATATTTGATATCATTCTAACAGAGTATCAAAAATGGTTTAAAAGTCTGCTCCTATTCGACTTCAGTCATTGTTCAAAGAGGATTAGGGTACTATTAAAATAAGCGAAGATTACACATAATGTTTTTCTTGTTCCGGATTCTTTATGTTCCACCCCTCCACCCCGCTTCAAAATATGTTCATGATAAAACGACATTAATAATCGAAATTTCGAATTATGTCAAACCTTAGAAATAAGCTGAGTTTCTTGGCAGAGAAGTGATGAATTACTACCCTGGACCAGCTAATAAAAACAATTTAATATGGTTAAAAAAAAAAGATTTTAATTCAACAAAATTTTAAGAAAAGCTTAATCTATTGACTTTCAAAAAATAGATTGATACATTTTTAAACAGCTTCTTTCGACAAATTTTACAATAAAGTTTATTTAACACATTTGATCAAATGCACTTTAACAGAGTAATAATTTAATATCTATATAATAAAACAAGACATTCATATACATGTTGCGTATAGCCAGTTAAACAGCTGGGTCAATTAGGCTAACATTTTTTGTAGACACTCATGGGTGGCCGGGGGGTTTTAAAGGATAAAAATCGATTTTCTTTTCCAAATTTTTTTAAAAAAATTTAAAAAACTTTTTTACCACTTTTTAAAAATAAAACAAGACATTCATATATATGTTGCGTAAAGCCGGCCAAACGGCTGGTCCGATTGGGCTGAAATTTGTTGTTGACACTCATGGGTGGCCGGGGGTGCTACAAGCTAAAAAAAACGATTTAAAAAAAAGTTATCTTTTCTATTTAAAATTAAATTTTTTTTCAACGGCCCTTCAGCTAGTTTAATATAAAAAAAACAATCAGAAAAACTTTATTATCTGGAATTTAATATATGAACTATATTAATAATAGATATTAGAAAAAAATAAACAACAGAAAGATATAAAAGAAATATTTTCATTTAAAAATTTCAAATTTTTTTTCCTCGTTTTCGGTCAGATCTTGTTCCACAGATTTCCTGCAAAACCCATCTTCCAGTTTCAGTACTTTCTCAGGTAAACTAGATCTAACAGTAACAAAATATAAACAAACTAGATCTAACAGTAACAAAATATAAACAAACTAGATCTAACAGTAACAA